CGAAACGTCATCCTCTACATTTGTAGGTTTCTACAATAGCCAGTTGCTGTCCATTTGAAACTTAGATTCATTTTAGATTTTGAAATCTGAACAAATATTAAAGACAAAGAACATATCAATGTTAAAAGAGCCATCTCTCTCTCTCTCTCTGTCTCCGTATCTTGTAAATGTTAACAGAGTAGGAGGTTCAGGTAACATAAATGTCAAAACTTACACCAAATGAAAACTGTTAACTGCAAGGTTTCACAAATGATAATGCCACCAAGGGACATGAATATTTACAGTTAAAGTCTGATGGACTTTAATTATTTGAAAGTTCAATAAAAAACACACCTTGCCGTCACTCTTCCCCAGAGACGAATTTAAGATGAAGTCTGGAAGGGCAATGACATCTGCCAAGGTTACAGCATCATCTTTCAACTGTCCACACAGTTTCAGCACACCTTCTCTTACAAACACTGCAGGGTTTGGTCCAACAGCATATCCCCCTGTGTGGTTACACGGATCAGATATACGTTACTTTTCTTGACGTATACACGAAAAGCAAGATACCCCCCCTCATTACATTACAGTTAGTTTTCTGATTTCCTCACGAACCAAAGTGACAAATATTGCCATTATTAAATTTTCAGAACAGTAGGAAACACATTTTCGGATAGTTCTTAATGTTTTGTTAGAGAAATACAGACAATTACTTCCAACCAAATATCACTCTGATACCTTGTTTTAATTGTAATCACATACAATAGACTTTCCCGATTATATCTAAAGACATTCAAGCAAACAAAACCCTATAAACTACTTTCTCAGTTTAGTAGATTATTTAACCTCGGTAGTCATTAATATGGTTCATCGACAACAGTGTATGACGATTGCTTTGATGTTAATCGTTCGCTTCTCGTGTGAAACACATTTTAGTACTTGCCGTTTACAAACAAACAAAAAAATTCCATCCAATTACTACTATTTTACTGATCATGAGCAATGTTATTTTCTAATTTGCTATAAAAAAAAGAACTTGGAATTGTGATTTTATGTAGATAAAAAACTTGCAACATTTTTAAACATAAACATGCAAATAGAAAATAAAAGAAAATTAAATTTATTCAGCTGTCAAAAAACAAAACACTATAATAATAAAGACAAAATACTGGTAAAAGTAGGTAATGAAAAAAAATATAATATTTTAACTTTTCATTTAAGTTTGTTTCCTTTGAATTTTGCACAAACCCACATGTGGGCTATCTGCACTAGATGTCCCTAATTTAGCAGCGAAAGACCCAACTCTTGGGACACTTTTTTACCAACTAATAGTGGGACTGCCCATCACTTTATAATACTCTCATGGCTGAAAGAGCAAGCATATTTGGTGGCAGGGAATCAATCCCATGACCCTCATATTGTGGGTTAAGCACCCTAACCACCAGGCCTCATTCATTTAAGATGTATGTAATTGGAAAAACTATTTCAAATTTACAAAATAAAGCCCTGAAAAGTACCTACTTTAAATCATATAGTGAATGAATATTATGCTATGAGATTATATAGTTCCTCGCCTTCATCCAAGTCTCTCGAGACTAGATCTATACACCCTCACTGGCTTTACTACACATTCTTACCTTCGTACAATGTAGCCAGATGTTTCTCTAAACTCCACAAGCCATACAACAAACATAATTTGTACAGTGCAGACAACAAGGAATTTTCTACACTGGCATTTTTGATGAACTTGTAGAATCGCTCCAAAATTGTATGCTATTAAAGTAAACATGTCAATATTTGTATTTATGTTCAATTATTCACTTTCTCATCTATACATGAAACATGAAGTTGATGTAACTTTCACCTCTGTACATCTAACGATATCAGTGTTTTGTAACTTTTCATTTACAAAGTATGAAAATTAATAAACTTTACATAAAGTATATTTTTTTAAATTTTCTTCTTAAAATCATTTGGATAAACCAGTAATAATAAAACTAAATTGTAACTAGAACTTAGTATATTTTAAACCAATAGATTTACAAGGTTTACAACGGAACTATTGCTCAACGTGGTTAGTTCTAGTCAAACTAACTTGGGTATCATATTTTATAACTAGATCAATTGTTCTTATTTGAATCTTTGGGTTTTTAGTGCTAGCTCTAGTTTTAGCATACAAGTGTAGATTACAGAGTGCTGGTATCAACCAAGACTGGAAACAGTTAGTTTTAACTCTTGATATTTCAATATTTATTATTTAGCACCAAAGCCTTAAATAATTCACCGTTATAAATTATTAAAAGAAAAATAAAACAATTATTTGAACTATTTAATGTCCATCAACTTACAGATTATCTATTTATTTCTCTTTAGTTGAACATGAACAAAAACTGTTACAGAATGACTAATACTTTCCCTATACAGAATGTCAGGTTTATACTTTTATAACCGATTACTTATAGCAACTAAAAAGTTTACTACTACCTAAAAGTATATGCAGAATCGTACTAATTATAAACTGTAATATCTACAGATATGAGAACATAGTTTCATAGGCATATCTTCCAATTCACAGATAGGTGGCACTATACAATTAATCTGAGAAATTAAAACAATTTTTCTGAGGTGCTAAAGTTACAGTTGTGTGTAGAAGAGTTTACTACAGCAATTAAAAATTAAAAAATATTTTCAATAATTAAAACCTAACATCAGAAGCGGATCATGCAGACATTAATGGCTGTTGTGGTTATCACAATATCAGACATGATAAAATGTACTAAAAACTGTCTTTCATTGACAGATACACTATTAGAGCTTTTGAACAATCCAACATTATGTCATCAGTTCACATCTTGCAGTGGAACACAAGTTCTCTCCCATGTTTGTGAGAAAATTCTGGTGAAAGTCTGTTGCGTTTTTAACTATAGAATACCTGCTTTCGGTGTTAAACTAGTCTATACACCCTGGGTGTCTGTTTGAAAGTCATGTTTATCCTAGTCTCAATTGCAACTACAAGATTGGAAAGTGTGATATTGGGATGAAATACAAATATTGAGGATGTTATCATGATGGAGATCCTGTTGAAGTTAAAGTGATCAGAAAGAGAAGTAAAAAAAAACACATTAGAACCCAAAAGAGGACAAGACAACCTTCAAACAGAAGGAACAGTAAGAATTAGATGCTTTGTTCTTATTGTAACCACTTCCACTGTCTTGAATGGTTTGCGACTGACACCCTTAGATAGGATTGATCGGACCTCAACCAATGAAAGCCATAAGAAACAGATGAAGAACAATTACCGTTGATTCTACTATGTGCACAGAGAGTAGTAGTTCTCATGAACGTGTTGAAAATTATTCTTACAGTGTAAAACAAGGTGAAAATTAAATGGCCACAAACAAAAACAGCCTTGTTTTGGGAAGACTTATCAACAATGTAATAACATTGTGGGAGTTTTTGTTTTCCAAAGAAAGAGTCTGAACCCTAAACTTATGCATATTTTTACGTGAGGATCAATTCTAGCAGATTTTCTCGTCCAAAGTCGCCACCAATACATGGTGATTCCTGTACAAACAGCTAACAATTTTTAAGAGTTACAAAAGCCAAACAATTTAATACAGTAAAAGCTTTATAAATCAAAATAACAGTTTTACACAATAAATGTAAAAACCTTAAACTGTATAAAAACATTGATTTCTTGCTAGAAATAGAAACCATAACTTAGGATGTAGAAAATATTTACAGATAAAGCAAGAAACAATGTGAATCACAGTACAGGCAGATAACAACAAAAGCTTGCCAGTGGGAAAGAACATAAAACCACAGCAGTGCCACTAAGTGGCAGCATCAGTTAACTACATTTGCAAACTTTTGAGAGCATTCCAAGACAATCCAGATGGAATTGCAATGAATATTAGTCCCTACAATGAGCATTTGTATTTGGAGATATTGAACACACACACACACAGATATATATGTGTGTGTGTAAATTTCTACTAACTTAAAGCTTTATAACTAAAAATATCTAATAGTAGTTAAAAATGATTTTCAGTGAATTTTCACATTACTTATCAATTTACAAACCATAATATTATGACAGCTGTAAAAAATGTGAAGGATAAAAGAATACACCTATTCTTTCATTTGCTACTCCCACTGCAACAGACTAGTTTCACAGAATTTACAGCTCAGTGTTGCTCAGAAGAGTGAATAAAATAGGCCTCATATAGTGGTGGAATGCAAGTACTTTGTTTGGTGTCGACAGATAATGTACATAGTTAAGGACTAGAACATCTAAGTCGCACAAAAAGACTAATCCTATTGAAAACGTAACAATCAAAAGATCATTTAAATGTTGATGTTACCTCAATGTATGCAAGTGCAAGACTTCTACAAAAGTACACTTGACTATCATTACGAGCCGTGAAACTGTCTTTTCCTGAAGCTAGTTCCGCTTTCACCTTGTTAGCGCTGCCTCGTAACAGATAACAACAGAGCCAACGGTACGCTCCTAAGAGAACTGTGAACACAAAAAGTAATCACGCATTAGACTGAAACACTAAAGTTGCACAAACACATGCAGAAAACAAATGACCTCCTAAAACCAACACTAATACTTTATGTGATAAACTTTAACTATTTCACCCATTCCAATATAGCAAAAACTTTATTCACTCATAAGTCTTAATTATTAATAAATTTTCAGATTTAACCAGTTGATTAATCATTGAGTCACTGGATAACCTAAGATAATGACAGAGAATAAAGTAATTAATCACAAGGTGAGAAATAACTTGTTGCCAACAGATTCTACTTTACAAGAAACAAAATTATGACTAGTTAATAACTATTTCACTTTTATTGACGAGAGAGCGTTTTATGTAAAGACCACCAATATCCAGGTACATTTAAATATATATTACAAACAACATCTTCTCATACTTCAAACTCCTTTCGGGAATTGAGCTAATTACACATCCAAGTACATTAGTCACCTTCTACATTCAGCATGTCTTCTACGGAGGAAACCACAAGCTTCTGTTGCAGAGTGATGTCCATCTCATTAATAAAGTTAGCACTTCCAAATGGAGAGGTGGATCCATTACCTAGAATAAGAAATACTTCATTTTTTTTATTTGACAACCACACAAGCATTGTATTTTTACTGCAGTCACTTTCAGTAACAGTTGTGTTTACAGATAGTTTTTTTACAAATGTAAAAGTAAGATCTTCAAGAAAAGCAATATTTTTGTGTAACCACAAAAAAGCTCTTTCTGAGAACTTTGAAAAATTAATATCAACTTATGATCAAAGCAAGCTACCTACATAGATCAGAATTAAAATATATGCCTAGTAAAAGTATACATAACTAATTAAATATAGTATTTAAGCCATGCTACTTATAATTATTAGACTGTATCATTTCATCAGTTTGGACCCTCGAACAGTATTTTCAGCCTTAAGTATATGTGAAGCCTAAAATAAGCTAAAAGCATTTAGTCTTTTCTTCAAAACCTTACTCAACTGGTGATAAAAGCTTCGTACATATTGGTTGAACTGTACTTTACCTCCATTCCTTCGCTGTAAAATTCCAAGCAGGTAGTTACTTGTTTGTTGAAGTAAAACATTGTTGTCACCTTCATACGTACAGTTGGCATCGTTATCGTTTCTTGGACCACCAAACCCGGCAGCTACGAAAACAAAACATCTATAGATTTTACTGTTCAAGTTTTACACATTTGATTTTGTTAACATCCGTTTCAAAATGTGTAAAAACGTTCAGTAAAGTGTATATTATTGGACTGGCGTTTCAAAATGTGTGAAAAAGTTCAGTAAAGTGTATATTATTGGACAGGCATTTCAAAATGTGTAAAAACGTTCAGTAAAGTGTATATTATTGGACTGGCATTTCAAAATGTGTAAAAACGTTCAGTAAAGTGTATATTATTGGACTGGCATTTCAAAATGTGTAAAAACGTTCAGTAAAGTGTATATTATTGGACTGGCGTTTCAAAATGTGTGAAAACGTTCAGTAAAGTGTATATTATTGGCTGCGAGTGACAATAGTTGAGCACAAAATAAAAATATTTGAATACCTTAATATTATCTAAGAACACTGTGAAATTGAAAAATACATTCACTGTCTCAAAATATATCTTATTGTGTGCTTGTAAATACAGTTTTATATTGCAATAAAGATGTTTTATTCATTAAACTCCTCAGCGTTAAACTCTTGCTTCATGTATCTTGTACACAGCCAGTTAGATGGCAGAAAGTTCACCTGCTAGATAGCCATGTCCTCCGCAAGCTTCCCGACACTCTTGGATAGCATCTCGAGCAATCCATCCTGCCAATGGTTTGGATGCACAAGATAAAGCATGGATTTCGGCTCCTTGTTCCGACTGTCAACATTTAAGGAATAAAAAGAACCTTATTATGTTTATTATTAAAATTTCAAACTGAAATTTTATAAGAAAATTGCCAAAAAACAAAGGTCTGATATTCTACAAATATATTATTTTTAATAATTCATTTTATAGCAATTTTTATTTTGTTAAGTAAAATACCTTAATGGGATTTTAAACATACACCAGAAATTTTGCATCATATTACACATAACAATAATAATAAAAATATATTTAATATTTATATATTTGCTCTCGATACTGTTGGTTAACATGGAAACAACTCGGCATTCCTTAAGCATACGGTGGAAAGAATACTCGGGGAATTACTCTATACTTGAATATATTTCAAGTACATATGGATGTACTTCCCTATCTATACCGTTTGACGATTACAAATTATCGACCTGTGAGATAACTAATCAAAGTATTTTGGAAATTCAGAAAGGTAACTGTCCAATGATCAGAAATACATCTGCTTTCGTCGTGACGGTAATATTTTTTGCCTTTATACCAAGCACACTGGGCGAATAAATGAAAAGATGTTGAAACATTTGTTTCATGATATCTAGTTGTAGTTATTGTAGTGAAAACTAACTCAACTTCTTTACTGGAAAGAAATTCTGCTACCAGCATCATTTACACTGTAGGGATGTCTCAATTTTAATACCATGTAATACTAAAATATGGATTTTTAATGAGTGATTAAAAGTGTACAAATGTTGAAAAACTTGAATATAATATATATATATTTTTTCTGTTCATGTATTTTGAAATATTAGCAGATGTTTTGGCAGTATTTTATGGTGATTCAAAAATATAAATATTGCATATTGTAAGTAGCTGTGACAATAAATTGCAAGGATGCCGTTCTGCTCGTGGGGAGGGAAAAGCAGTCATGTAGTATTTGAAACTTAAGTTGATATCTAGGTTTCAGTATGTTAGAAGAACCATGAAACTTCATTAGCATCAATTTGGCTTTATTGAAACTTTCACCTGCCTGGAAAGAAATAAAAACCAGATGCATTGGTGCTAGTTAACATCCAAAATTAATACCTTAATTATTTCTATTTGACACAAATAAAATAATATCTATAAAGAAATTGCTAAAAGTTTATCAAGAGAAACAAAGGAACAACAAAATCAAAGCTGATTTATCCTTTTCTAATAATTTTACATCCATTGTAATTTTTTAGATCACACACAAATACAAACCAACTAGTGTACTCTCTTTTCACACTATGCACCGAAGAACTGGTAAAAATATGTTTTTTTTCTCTGCAGCAATGGAGACTTCTTCCATATTTGGCAGCAGCCTACCTCTTGTTTAAGTTTGGAGAATCATTTCGTGAGGATTACGTCCAGTTTCAGATGGCTGTGTTGTTTGGAGAGAAGACTCCTGTAGTGGTAACGTATAAGCTCTCAAACAAACTGAATTTTCTATCAAACCAACAAGAAGTGCATGAATCGGTTCACGTGTCTTTTATAGTAATATAATGTGTCTAGATTTTTTATTTAAACCTAAAACTTTCATTAAACTGAATTTTTATTTGTGTGTTATGTTATTCTTCTCCAGGACCCTAATAAAAGATTCGGAGCTTCTCTAGGATCCCTGTCAATGGGACGAGTGGGTATAGTTGGAATGTGCGTTGCTAACATACATAAGTGTCTTCCAATTGCTATTCGATATTCTGCTATTAGACGTCAGTTTGGTCCTGAGAATGGCAAAGAAATACCCGTTTTGGATTATCAACTACAAGTATGTTTGAAAATGGTGAACTATTGATAGTTTATCTTAACCAATAGACATTGTTGTTCCTTCATGTACGCTTTTGCCTTGCCAACAGTAATATGCTGAAGAATGAAAAGCTAAGTAAAACATGAGTTAGATCTAGGTTAATAAAAACAGCCACCCCATCTAAATAGTTATTCTTATTTTCAGTCCTGTTAACTTCGTTACTGGAGGCTTTGTTGAATCGCTCATTATGTAACGTTTTGTGCATCAAAGTCTTCTGTAACAGAGTCAAAAACTTGCAGAAGTAAAAAAAAAAAGTTTTATATAGTAACCTAGAGAAATGCCTATCTATACAGAATACAACTTCTTTTCAAGAATAAGAATATATCACTTAAGTTTGTAAACTGAATCTTATTTCTCCATTCGAACTGCCTCTAAAACTTGACTTTAAGCTTTTCAGTCAGTTTTAAACCTAGACAAGCATAGTAATTATTTTAATTAAAACAACTGAACTATATTGTATATTGTTCTTCAGATGTTGCTGGTGTTACACTAAGCTTTAAGAGAGTATGTTGAAAACAGTAATTGTGAGTTTAAAAGTAACAACTGTAAATTAATAGCGTAGCGTTGTTACCAAATTTCATTTCTAAGTACCATCTAACTAAAAATCTAATAAAATTATTTTTGGTAGTAAATTGGTGAGGTGTTATTTATATTAAATTGCAGAAGACATGCACCCTGTAACAAATTTTGTTAAAAAATAAAACAAATGCAGAATAAAATATGGTTTTCCTACAAATTTCCAACACACTCTTGTAGTACCTTCCCCACCTCAAACTGAGAAATGGGTTGATGCTTTGGTCATTCTGTGAGACAATATATTTATGTACATGTCACAAAGTAGGAAACTTGTATATAAACTCTCTGGCTGTTGATGGTTTAATTACTTCTCCCAGTACACCAGGCACAAGAGAGAAAGACGTGTTAAAAATTGTCTCTGCTGTAACCCGAGTCACAATTTTCAGGTATTTCCAAACCTACTAAAGCCTCGTAAGTTTTCTATAACGTAACAATCTTTAAGAAATTAGTTATTTCACTTTTACGTTAAAATGTTTATATATGAAATGCACATGGGTGCTTATAAGCCTGAATGTGGCAAAAGTGAAACATTAACACCACTTAGGTATGTTTATTAGGCCTAACTTAAATAAGTGTAGAGAAAGCAAAACAGTTTCATACCTGTTCGAAAATAATATGGAACAAGAAAGTTAGCTCCCTGGTGTATTAGTTCTTGTGAATGATAGTAAAGTTAATTCAAAAAAGGTAATAATAAAATAAAAATTAAATAAACAGTGTTAAAACAAACATATATAATGTTACAAACTCTTACCTAAAATCTGATTTGTAAATGACTTAAATAAAGACTGATAATAATTACAATTAACTTGTTTAGTATGATTCACACTTTAAGAGCTGTTGTTCATAAAAACTGGCGATACATAGAACCTAGACCACAACTATTTCCAACATATCCCAGCCACCCCGGTATTGGGAGAAAGGCCTTATCGGCACTAGAAAAAGCAGATATAGTGTAGTTGATGTATTATAATATATTTTACTTCGCTTTCACTCATGGGTTTTTATAATCACTTGGAATTTATCTTATTCTTTGTGAAAAAATAAAGTTCAAGTTGTTTATTTGATTGCATGTATATCACACAACAGTTCAATGCTTCTCTTATCTGTGAAAATATCTTAAAAGTTAGTTTTAAAATGTGCTTTACATAAAACCATGTGCATTGCACATAAAAATCATGTTTCCATAAATAAAAACAGACATAAAAACCCATTTTGTTTGCGCAACAGTCTAGAAAAATTTAGAAATCATACACCAAACATTTTTCAATGAGTAATAACAAATTTGGTTAAGTGTCGCTTTCAATGTAGTGCTGTAAGAGTATACAGTGTCAAATGAATTTTTTGAGGTTACATTTAACAGATGTGCCTCACTCATCATCATCCACTCTTATTATTAACTGAAACAAATTTTGTAATTACACAACACATTAAAGAATTTCAATGGTTCCATTCCTCAAATATCACTCAAGAAAATTTCTATTACAGTATTATTATTATTATTGTTGTGCTTTCTGAAAACCTCAACCGATACAGGTAATATATTCTCACCTTGAATGGTGAAACATATTTCCCATCCGGAGTGACATCACCCATGCGATTTAGAAGATTCTCTCTTGGGATACGATACTTTTGAAATGACACAAATCTATAAAAGTAAGAAATATGTTGTTTGTTTTAAAAATGTGCCTAATACTTACAGTAAGGACATTTTTACAGAAAAAACACAAATAACAGCCGAAAGGTGAAATAGAAGGACAAGCAAGTCCCGTTCAGGAAGTTGAAGTAAAAAACCCTCAACATGTAAATTCAGAATACTCTAAATTCGAACCAAGAATACAAGCAAATATTTTATAGAAATGTTAAATAAAATCAAGAGGATTTAAAAAAAAAAAACTTGGACAAAATTAATTTGAAGAATACTCGGTATAATGAGCAATACTGAATAGACCCGAAAATGCTAACTTTTGGGAAACCTTGTTATTTATACTTTCAGAAATGTTAAAGGTGCATAAATTAAATTATAATAGTTACAAGATACACAGCATTAAGTAAAATGTTTTACTTTACTACACAACAATCTATAGTATCTACACCTTACCCATTATCAAGTCCATTTAGTCCTAACTAATACACAACATAATCTATAGTATCTACACCTTACCCATTATCAAGTCCATTTAGTCCTAATTAATACACAACATAATCTATAGTATCTACACCTTACCCATTATCAAGTCCATTTAGTCCTAATTAATACACAACATAATCTATAGTATCTACACCTTACCCATTATCAAGTCCATTTAGTCCTAATTAATACACAACATAATCTATAGTATCTACACCTTACCCATTATCAAGTCCATTTAGTCCTAATTAATACAAAACATAATCTATAGTATCTACACCTTACCCATTATCAAGTCCATTTAGTCCTAATTTTGGACCTAGATCTCCAACAGTGATTCCAGGTAAAGGTAAAAGAGTATTAGGATCCCGTATGGGTACCAGGAAAGCATGTAGACCATGACACGTACCATCTGGCGTATAAAGTTGTGCAAAAACAGTAGCATGCGTTGCCGTCTGACCGAGATTCCCAACCCAAACTTTTGTAGCTTCGACATCTGATGTGTTGAGAACAAATTCCTTAAAATAACCAAAGAATGGAATATCGTTATTCTTAGTTCCTAACTGCCCGACAGGAACCGATACAAAAATAAAAACTGTCACCAACCACATGGCTGTATGGATTCAATTGAGTAATTTTTCACCTTACGTTATGCTCCTCTCTCTCTATCTAAAAACGCCACATAATTAACTGATCACACACACACACACACACACACAAAAAAAAAACATTTTCATAAACACATTTGGAAGAACAAATTATAAAATTCCAGTCCATTCAAAAAATTAACTATCCTTCAATTGGTTACAATATTATGTTTAAAAAATTCTATTTGAAAAAAAAAATCTATTTCCTATAATTTTCCCCAATTTATCAAATATTTCTGTTTGTTGAATTTTGTGTAAATCTATTATAAGCTAGCCATCCCTAATTTTGGAAGAAGTGATAGACTAGAAGGAAGGCAGCTAGTCAACATCATCCATCAACAACATTTAGGCTACTCTTTACCAATGAACAGTACACTTGACCAACACATTATACACCCCCACGGTTGAAAGAGTTTGGAAACGGGTTTTGATCCTGCAACCCTAGATTACAAGTCAACCACCAGGCCTTTTGAAATGTTTCTCATGCCACGAAATAAACCATAGTTTGAATATTGTTTTCTTGTATCCTTATTGAAGAAATTATTAGTTGGATACACTTTTTATTTAAATTATCTATTTTGACAAGAACAATAAGCTTTCTAGCAACGTATAATTACTTTTTTTTCAGGCTAATAACAAGAAAAAAATAATAACAACAAGAGATTCAAGTGTATTTTTTTTCTGGACTGACAGTAACGAAAATTCGGTAAAAGTGCATTGGGTGGGTTCCCACAGGTTGTTAAATTAGGTCACATTACACTCTTGAAATTATACCGCCCCACATCCTCTTTTCAATGACATACCTTATTAAAAATACTTCTTTTATTGCCAATACAGATCAACAGACTAAAAAAAAAGATGTATCAGTTCTCTCAAAAAATAATATTAATTTCACACGACTTTTGTTTGTTATTAATCACAGAGCTACCGCACGGGCTATCTATGCTATGACTACCACAAGTATCAAAACCTCATTTTATAGTAGTATAAGCTTGCAGACTTACCACTGTGCCATCGATGGCAAAGCATACTTTGAAATTATCTTTCAGCATACTTTGCTACAGATAAGTATCAGTGATAACCTCACAGCTGAATAAAAATCTGAGAAGTAATGTCTATCAAAGTTCGGCTAGTAACCAGACTTACTTGAGTTTTTGGATTATATGTGGCTGTTGTTCTCATTCCTCTGGTGTTGGAACCATGACTTAACTCGGTTAGAGCAAAACAGCCACTGATCTAAACATAATATATCCAACTGTCAGATGAGATCATAGCTGTATGTTTTTAATTTAATAATTGATCACCTAAATTTTCTCTTTGACTAAAAACACTGACTAACTGATCACACACATATACACAAAAAATAATTATTTTTTTTGCACACTCATTTTGGAGTAAAAATTTTAAAAATAAGATGCACTGAAAATTTAACTACACTTCAACTGGTTCTAACATTATATGTAACAACTGATTTATAAACTTCAATATTTTATTTCTTCTCGTTTCAACAACGTTAAGTAAATTATTTTATGTGTAACGTCATGATATAAACCCTGGTTTGATTTCTTATCTCTTATCCTTAGTAACGAACATATTCGTTTCAACAAAACTTTACTAGCTTTTACTCTGTCTATTGTCAACAAAGAAATGCTAAATCAAGCATTACAGAACAGGTAAAAAGAGCAATCTTGCACCGAAGAGTGACTGTTATCAGTGAGCACTTAATGTACCTTTCAAACACAGCTAACCATCGTCACGAGT